TGTATAAACAGAGTTCGCAGTGAGAATTGTATTGTTTTATAATTTTATTATTTTATTGTTTCCCTTCTACGTGACTTTACCAAAAGAACCAAGAATAAGAGTTCCCAGTGCCCTATTCTTGCACGTTTTTATTTTCACGTTCGATGAATTCCCCATCATGATAATTGTATTCAAGAGAGGCAACTGAATATAATATTAACCCATTGCAAGTTAACATTTTTTGGGAAATAATTCGAAAGAAAGTTGATGAAGAAGATGATAGATATGTTAATTTGTCCACACAAATAAATACAATTCTCACTGAATGGTGATTATGTATATTGCTCCCTGCTTAAGTGTGTTCACTGGACAAAATAAAACATTGAATAAATCGTGTTCTGGATCAAGGGAGACTGTGGTACCATCAGGTGGAAAAAAAAGTGTGTGATGTTTTCATGTTTTGTTGAACTAAAATACTGTAGTGCGCATTACGAATGGCAAAGGTAAAGGCACAGACCCTGCAAGTGCCCGCATGTGCCACTGCTGGCACAAGGGTATCCACTAGAGGCCGCTATAGAGAGCCCCCTCTGGAGGATTTGTGGCCTACTCTTCAACTCTGGCCAGACTTCTTGGATTTGGTGGGGAGTACCCACACGACTTTTGGTAATTTAGTGTAAATGCATTTAGAATTTGAATTAATAAAAAAACTCTTAAAATTGAACGAGAATCTTACGGAGATCGTGAGTATTGTTTGCATTTAGTGTATACTACTGATGAATATGTAATATAATTTACATTCTAGATTTGAAGCTTTCGTGACTGCAAGAATTCAAACTCTTTGGTTTTATTCGGTAAAGTCCGTAAATAAAAAACAAATTAAAAATAAAATAAAATAAACAATTTTATTTTTAATTTGTTTTTTTTTTACCTACGTGACTTTACCGAATAAAACCAAAGAGTATAATTTACATGTTTAAATATTGGATTTTTTTTTATATGAGTCTTGCATTACTCGGCAGCTCCTGCATGTCTGGTAAATTTCTCCAGAACGACGCCACTAAGAAACGTAAATATCCGGCTTAACAAGATGAAAATAACACGGTCATGAGTTCTATACAATCATCAGTGCAAAAAAACAACAAACTCACGATTACCCAATCACATGAAAAAAATGAATGACACACTAACAATTATTACACAACCGTGAATTTAAAAAAATGACACGCACAATTACTCTGCAACAAGTACCAACCCCCCCCCACCCCCCCCAACAATTACCATTATCACGCAATCGTACGTACAACGAATGACACCATCGCGATTGTTACGCGACCTTCAGTGTGGCGAGTGACACAACTCTCTCGATCACTCTTGCAATTATTAGCGCGAACATATTGGCCGCTGTGGTGACAACCCACTGGGATTTACACGAGCCGGCGGTGAGCCCATCACCGCCGAGCAGAGGCGGAAAGAGAGAGAGAGAGTGAGAGAGAAAATGATCTCGGATACTTTGCGTGGCACACTCGACTGAATTTTCAAAAGCCACGTTGCCATCGGAATAGACGTCAAGGCTCGGCTGTACAAAAGTTAACCTCCCAGGGGCTACAAGGGTGAACTCCCCGTTAGCGTGGACGTGAATCCCAGGGCGTTCTCTGGACCACCGTCGATAGTTGCGACTCTTTGGCTCGGAGCGATCGTGTCTGGCAGCAGCGTGCGGGCAGTGTCTGGCAGCAGCGTGTGGGCAGTGTCTGGCAGCAGCGTGCGGGCAGTGTCTGGCAGCAGCGTGTGGCAGTGTCTGGCAGCAGCGTGTGGGCAGTGTCTGGCAGCAGTGAGCGCTCCACCTGGAAACAAGAGACGAATGTAAAATCTGTAAACGTACACCTCCCCCTTCCCCCCCTCCCTGTGTCAATACAATGCCGAATGAGGGCCTTCCCGCGTCAGGCATGGTCTTGGACGTTATTTGGCCATACTTCATCGCGCTGGCCAATTATAGTTGGTGAAGGCAGTGAGCACTGAAGTTCAGCAGCAGCTGTCGCCAACCTTCAGTGAGCAGCATGTTGAAATATGGTCAAATAACCCCCGAGGCATGCATGGCATGTGGAGGCCCTCATCAAAGCAGTGGACTGATGTCTGTAAATTATTATTACGGAGTGCTTTCAGAAATCTGAACTTTAAAAGTATTTAGTCGGTGTGCAATCAATACCTGCGTGGACGTGTTTCGGAAACATTTTTATTGACAAAACATGTCACAAAAACGGAGACACTGAGAGATAGAATGAGGAACGCATGGATTGGAGAACATACACAGGTTTAACGACATAATTGACACTGCTAAGATAAGTAAGTGGGCTTGGGCACATCGCAATAAGGGTTGATGGCCGATGGCTAAGAAGTGGCTGCCATGGAATGGAACGTATCCGAAAATCACGTCCACGGAGGAGATGGAGCGATGAAATCGGCTCATGTGCAGGTGCTGGGTGGCTTGTTATCTAGCGGTGGTGTAGCGAGCGGTAAGCGCGCTGGGCTACGGACCCGGCGACCCAGGTTCGATTCTCGCTCACGGCCAACACCCACTGACGATTATCTGTACCGGTCATGGGCCTCCTCTAGGTCGACTCGGCCTCAAATGAGTACCTGGGTGCGGTGTGTAAACATCGCTACTGGGGAGATAAAGGCGGTCTGGCGTGGTGCTGGCCACCCAACCCCTCGTGTACCGTTCCGGCCTTCATAGGTGCTACTCGCTAACAGCACTTGCCCCTACAGTCTGCTAAGGCTACACGGGGGATCTTTGTTATACCGCAGAACCGTGAGGTTGAGGAAAGCACCGAGAGCCCCTCCAAGGCCGACGTTAATTTCCTGCTAAAATTAAATCCGGCACACCTGTGTATTTTCATTTTTCTGCCGTGAGACCGCCTGCATGCAAAAGGAGAGTGCCAATTATACAGGAGGCTCTCTGCAGCGATGAAAAAAAAACCCCGCTTCTGCTCAGAGGGATACCGGCGGTGGCTATGGCACGAGAATAATTCGCGAATATCAAGCAAGTAAGCAAAGCGGTCATTAAAATAAAGAATTCGCCCGAGCGCCCGAGCGTGGCTGTGAAGTCCAACAGAGGGTGATCTCCACCAGAGGGAGTGCATGTTTGCGTATAAAAATACACACATCTCCAGGAGTGGGAGAGTGGTGTGTCACGCCCAGGCATCAAGCTTATTATCATCATGCTCGCACGGAGTCAGGCACTCATTTTGCGTGGCTGGAGTCACGACGCTTTCCTTGCTGCACGTAATTTAATCTCACGACGGAGAGCCGCGATCCTGCCGTCGCCGGTTCAGTCTCTCGGCGTGGCAGTTTGAAAAATGGTGGATGCTTCTTTTAAACAACAACAACAAAAATCCCCTCTGTCCCACCAAGAAGTATAAATGGGTAGGCCACAGTTTGGTCGAGTGTGGGGTAAGGCAAAATGTCAGCGCTCCCACCTCTTCAAAGATGGCTGGGAAGCGTGGACGAGTAGGCCAAAGTCCCTCTAGGGCTCCCCCTTGTGTCGGTCAAAGGGTTATTTGACCTGTGGTTTACCACACTGGCCAATGCAGGTTGGTGAATGGGGTGCCGAGACATGGTTCAGACATCACTCCCCACTGATGGGATGATATAGTCTTGACCAGGAATTGAACCATAGTCGCCAAATGTAAAACAATACCTCCATCAAAATAAAACATTAATTTGGAAAAAGTTTGAATGTAACTCTGCACTAACCTTATGGTATAAAATCAATGACTAGAAACTGACTGGAAAGGTATATATATATGAAGCAATCAGCAACGGAATCTCTTTATTGCCTTAGCTGCAGGTTCCACAAAAACACAGGTCAGACGCAGCACCTTTTTTGTGGACAACAGAATATGAAAGCGTTTCTTCTCCAATCACTGCCTCTCCTCGAAGAGGAACAAGAGAACACATCATTTGAATTTAGGAGAGTGTTGGTCAATAATCTGGGAGGGTTTATAATAAAGAGAGCTGAAGCATAACCCTGAATGGAGATAATAGTTGGCATGCTTTACGACAAACATGAGCACGGTAGTGAAATGATGTTGCAAAGCGTAGCCACGAAGATGTGGTTAAACGTCTTGGTCAGGGCTTTTAAAACTTTGTCAACTCAAGAAACCCCATTCACAGCTGACGAAAGAACATTCAACCTCCCCCCTCCTCCATAAAATTAATATTTAAATCCCAGGGGGTGGGTGAGAGGGATTTTAATAAACCTTGTTTCTAAAAGTTAAAACTAAACAATTTTTTTATTTACCAGGTAAGACCCACTGAGCTATATTGCTATTTTTCAGAAGCGACCTGCACACAAATGACAGCTCAAAGAAGTGGCTTATCACGTGGAAATGTATAGCAGCCAAATACTCTAAACGCGTGTTTCTAAATGTGGAGGGAAAACCGGAGAAACATCCACGCGACCACAGGGAGAACATGCAAACTCCAAACATACACGCGTCAGGGTTGGGATAAAACCCACGATCTCCTGTGAAGCAGGCGAGGTAGTGAACATCTCGCCACCGTGGCACCCCAAGATGTTATAGCCTTGAGACTTCAGACGACTGAGCAGGAGTAATTATTATAAACGATGGATTGTTTAACCCTCTCATACCATGAACTATTAAAAAACATGCATTTTTTTTACTTTAGGCTTGGTGTGATTTGAAGGAATTAAAATATATTTCCCTTTGAAATGTGTTCAAATGTTTACATTTCACAGCAGTCACATTGTGTGTAACATTAATTGTACATGATCATCAGCCACGAGCAATCCACTGTTGGACGAAGGCCTTCCCAAACCGAATCGGTCACGGGGGTGGTTTTACCATACTTCACCACGCTGCTCAGTGCAGCCAGGACCGGCTCAGCTATCACTCCCCACTCTGATGTTAGCCGTGGTTGGGAATCGAACTCGGATTGCCGGGTTCATGGCACGGTGAAGTAATTGCTGTGACACCGTTCCATCCCTGTAAAACACGAAAACACGAAACCAACATGCTGAGTTTTCATTGACTTCTTTGGCAGGGGGGATGCTGTAATAGAACACTGGAATTGACATTTGGTTTGATCTCCCGGCATGGCAATTAAAACAATGGGGAAAGTTTCTTAAATTCCCCCACCTCTGTCCACCCGGCAGTAAGTGTTCACCATCGTTAGTCTATCGGCAGGCCCCGTGTGACGGGGTAAAGGATGGGCACTCCCGCATCTTTCAAGTCATCTGGCCCGTGTGGAGGAGTAGGCCAAATTACCATCGAGCGGTGCTTGCTGGAGCTCCCATCAATTGGAGGCCCTTCAGCCCAGCAGTGACGTGAGCTATCAATTGCAGGGCTGCACCTTTACCATTACCTTCGGCAGGTTCATGCAGCTTGCAATAACAAGCAATTACACATATCTGATGGGAGGTGAGCTCAAAGATCCCTGCTACACAGAGAGCATTATCTTCTTCCAAAGGGCTCTGCGAATGCTCTTGGGCATTTGGAGTGTGCTTGTTCTTGTCATTAGCATTACTTTACCGCGACGCAGAGGAACGTGGGGAATAGAATATTCCAAATCCGGTAAACGGTAGTATTTTAAGTCCGTCTCGGCTGAATTCTATCACCTATTTAATAACATTGATTGGGACCGGCTGCGATCACAAGCGTTCACTAATTTCGTGCTCATCCAGCTTCGGATTTGGAGTGCGTTTCGTGAAGAATAAAATAAAATGATCGTGCCACTATATACAGTGGCCCAGGGTCCGGGCGATTGGATTTTGATCATATTCCACATTAGCTTTGCAGTGTCCACCACGATCGCCAACTGCCTCTTGATTCTGGCCATCGTGAGCTCGGCGAAGCTCCGAAAGAGGAACAACTTCCTCTACACGCTGAGCATCACCATCACGGACCTAATCGTCGGATGCGGCTGGTTCTACAACGGGACCTACTTGGTGCTGGAGAGCCTCTCTGGCGGCTATGACGCTGCGGGGATCTTCCCAATGTTCCACGGCATCTCGCTGCTGACCCTGATGGCAGCCATGGTGGACAGGTACTACGCCGTGCAGTACCCGTTCGACTACACGAAAAACATGACTCGCACCAAAGTGCTGACGATCATCGCCGCCACTTGGCTCATGTCCATCGCCAACACCGTGATCAAAACGGAGATCCCGAAATGGGCCGTGTTTATCTACCACTCTTACTGCTCGCTGCTCGGGAGCATCGTGCTGGTGTTCGTGATGGCCTGCCTCAACGTGCACCTTTACTTGGTCACCAAGCAACAGCTCAGTCGGGAGAAACAAACCGACGGCGAGGCCAAGAGGTCATCGCACCTCATTATCATCACGTCCGTGATGTTCATAATTCTCTGGACGCCCAGCCTCATGTACTGCGGCTTCTGCTTTTACATGGGATTGTGCTACAGCATCCCTTACAATGCCGTCCAGCCTTACAACATCCTTCGGGTCCTCAACACGCTCACGACGCCTATCGTATTCCTGTGTGGAAGTCCGCTGACGAGGGCTTCGCTCAGGAATATTTGGGACCGCGTGACCTGCAAAAGGTACGACTGTGCACCTTTCGTCATCGTAAGGGATGTCCTCGCTGTGCTCCCGCGGTGTCTGTGGCTCAGCTTGTTTTTATTCTCGCGTGTGAGTGCGTGCGATCAGGGCTGCTTTTTCAGTCACACGTCTAAAAAGGCTGCTGAACGCAACTCGCGGATTCCCAGACGTGTAAGAAGTTCGCCCGTGATATTAATGGCCTTAAGGCTGAAATCTACACTGAAAGTTGTGATAAACTTGCAAGTCAGGCGCTTGAACCCACTCACCATTACCGTATTCTCCAGACTATAATATGCACTTCCACCCTCTCTCCCTGTACTTTAAAGGAAAAGTTGTGGGTGCGTCTAAATATGCGGTAGTACATGATAGAGTTTTTTGGGGTTATGCGATCTAAGCCAAAAAACCTCTATGCTATTGGTCGCGAAAGCCTACGTGTTAAAATGCGGTAGTTGTGCGTACGACCAAGTTCGAATCACGTTGCTGATACCGGACACAAGTTTGGGGTGCGTCTTACTTTTCGGAGTGTCTTGTAATCAAACACACACTGAGCAGCAAGTCAACAACAACAAAAAATATCCAAGTGGTGTCCAGCCCAAATGCGCATTGAGGTGGTGTTCATCCATGAGTCAGTGATGGAAAGTACATATTCCTATGGCCAGGGGCGAGTCGATCCATAGGACAACCACTGTTCACTTAACCCACAAAGTTTGACCGTGGCACACAATGGCCTTATGTTTTTGTGATGGCGTACAGTGTGAATACTCTTAGATCTGCTCTGACCGAATTCGCGAGCACAAATCAGATTTGAAACACGGCAGAACGAATTCTTCTGCCGTAGCTGATCACAGTTACAACGCTGTGGGTGATCACGATATAATTTTTTCCGATACCAAGGTTCTTTGCAAACCCTCGGGTTTTTATCAAAGATTTGTTCACGAGGCAATTCAGATTTACAAACACAGACACAATTTCAACCGAGGAGATGGTTTCAAATTAAGCAACCATTGGAAAGATGTTCTAAATCGAAACAAACATTACACTAATTTTCAATGGTACAGTATATTTTTTCAAGTAGTGGTATCCCAAACTTTCGCAGCTGCTTAAATTCCCTTTTCACACCATCAATATGTAAACTCCCCCTCCCCCCCTCGCCGACCTGCACATGTTCACCCCCTCTACACCGTTCATCATGCTAAGTCCGCCAATTAAATGCTAATTTGTATGCTAATTCCTTTGTCAAGGCACCTTAATTCCTCTCACACAAGCTTAAAGGTCGCGGTCTGAGCTTGGCTGTGGTCACTCCAGCGCTGTCCTCGAGACAGTCTGGTCCCTTCACCTGATGAAGGCCACTTGTGTTGTGGCCGAAACGTCGTGAATTTTTTTTATTTTTTATTTTTTGTTGTTTTATACTTTTAAGTGACTTTACCGAATAGAACCAAAGAGTACCTAATTTGTTACTTGTGCGATGTTCCGTAAGCAACCTGTGTTTGTTCCCTGCAACACTGACGTTTCGTCTATGGTTTCGTCTACGTTTCGATGTCGTTGTGGTGCTTCCGAACCACGGATCTCTGAAAATAGCTGAGCAAATATACTCTCTGGTTCTTTCGGTAAAGTCACGTAGGTAGAAAAATACAATAAAACAGAAAATAATACCTACGTGACTTTACCGAAAGAACCAAAGAGTATGGATTCCTGCTGTCACGAAAGCTTCAAATCAAGCTGAGCAACTGGCAAAACGAGACCATCCGTGTGGCAACTAAATTTAAACTGCAATTGGCAGTGTACACAAGAATGCCAATTGTCTCATAAAATAGACACCGACTGATTGAATTGCCATGAACGATACATGCAGGACATGGCTGCTTCATATGTGCCTTCAATACCCGACAGTACAGCACGCTGCGTCTAATGTAAACGATGATTTATTTTCTAGTGCCAAAGTGGAGCCAGATGACATCAATTCACCCGTTGTGTATGTGAACCACTGAAGACACCACGACCGTATATAGCCTCTGGCTACCTTCGGATCGTGACACTCAAAGATATCGGGGGAGCTGCACTTCAAGGAAGATGAATGTAATTCCTTGATATGAACATGGTAAGGAAAACAATGGTGCGGATTTTATATACGAATATGATTGCGAGTAAAAGACAGAGAATGTTTGCTGAAAGAGCACTTTGAAAAGGGTGTATAATTAAACAGTTATCACTCATTAACCCAGCTCGGTTGTGTAATTTCCACGTTCAACTGGAGTGCACATGGTAAATGTATTTAAGTGCAACCCCCCCCCCCCAAATTAACTAAAGTAAAGTCAGAATTCACACCGTGTGTTCAGGTATAACTGAGGGGTGTCTTTGGAACAAACAAGTTGATAACCCACACGTGTTTTTGAAAGATAAGTGAGGCTTCCTTCATTGTAACATTTTACAATCCAGACGTAATAATTGTTTTTTTTGTACCTTCTCCTGATAGATCAGTGTTCTTCACACATTTATATAGGGGGGGGGGGCACTTTAGACCATAAGCTGTGTGAGGGCAGCCACACATTTGAAACCATTGGGTTTTCACACGTTGTGTCCTGACGAGGACGGCACGCCAGGGGTCACACGAAAGGCCACCAGGGGCCGCCTGGTGTCCTGTAGCACTGCTTTCGATGTTCATATGATGAATTGAATAAATACTTGAACAAAAAAATCCACTTAATCGGCCTACTCTGAACAAAAGCCTGCCTACTGGACAATGTTTGAGGGTTATCTAGTTCTTGTTTTATTTCCAGGACACCACTTAGTTGTTGGCAAATAAAGAATGCTTAAAATTAGTCGTTGAAATATGCACAAATACTGGGCAATTGTAATGATGAGCTAAAATCCAATTATTTATTTTACGAAAAAATGCATCAATTATGTTTCCACGTAATTTAATACATGCTTTACTTATCAGCATCGCAAATGACGAAATAAAGTACTATTGTGCACTCGTGCTATGTGTGTGCCCTTTATTAGGCATGTAACTATTCACCTTCTCACCCCTACGCCCACGTTGTGGAGGCGCGTAGCCGCAGTGGCTGCAGGGGTCACGTGAACCCAAGGCCCACATAGGTCACCAATTGCGCCTGTGAGCAAAAGAGCCCAGGACCGCCGGAGTTCATGAGACCTCAGAAGCTAAGCAGCTATTGAGCCTGGACAGTGCATGGACGAGCGCAGCCACATGGACGGAAGTAGAGGGTGGTGCAGAACCATCGATTGTTGTGCTGTACATCTATGATTCCCCACCCACCTTCACGAGCCTGTTAGTTTGATGTTCGATGCAGGGGTTTTAGAGATTCTCTTCTATATTTACACTCACTATCCTAATCAAGGGACAAAAACCTCAACACCAACAATAATCTCAAGAGGTAACAATGTATGGTTTGAGCATACGCAATTGCGGCTAATTATGGCACGTGATGATTATTTATTTCGGCGAGCCAATGCTGCTCACGCTTTGCTGTTGTTTTATCCCCCCAAGCTTAAGGTGCATGGGGATTCCAAGTAATTAGAAAAAGACATGTGTATATAATTATATCACGTGCTTATCAAATATAATTATAGCATGTGTATATATAGGAATGTGCCTGTAATATCCCACACCTCCCATTAGCACGGTTGACTATGTACGGTGCGAAAACATTTTCACACACACACATATAATTGTAATTGGTAAAAACGCCTCTGACCACATGGAATAAACTTGTTCGCACTTACTGTTGTTGTTAGTTTCCGAAGGATTAAACACTGACTATGTTACTCATGGGGGTGGAGCATTGGCGAGGTGGCTCGTGGCACTCCACTTTGCATGCAGCCACCTCTTGCGTTCCATCACTGGCCGTGGCCAGCATCGACGGCGAGTGATGTCTGAACCGGTCCTGAGGCAGTGCCCTTCACCAACCTGCACTGACCAGCGCGGTGAAATGTGAACAAAACAATCACGGTGACCGACACGGCATCGGAAGGCCATCGTCAAGCGGCGGATGGACAGAGACGCTGTGCTGTAGCATCGCGTTATTCCACTCGTCAGCCTTGTGAAGAAGCCGGGCGATAATGTCTCGATCGCGTGTCATGATTGGCAACGAAGGGCCTCGTGAGCAATGTATTCCTGCTCGTAGCTCGATTAATCAATTAAGTCTATTCATCGGAAAAAAAACATATATATAATCAAACACGCATTTTTGATCGATTACTCAGGTCCTCTTTAAAAATGTCAGCTGCCCCCCCCACCCCCCCACGTGCTCCCTCCAGAAGGCTGGAAACCCCCCTACAAGCCCAGCCACGCCCATTGTGATGCGGCTAACGATCCCAGTGGGGATTTTGTTTAGTGCGGATTGGATCTGTGACAGCAATTTGACTGACACGTGGTAGACATGCATTCCACGGTTATTCCATGCCGGTGTTTTCAATCGGAATTCCTCAGGCGGAACATCGTCGCTGAGCAACGAAACATCAAGAGAACCCCCGCGCATAGCTCACTCACAAATACAAGCACAGAGACAATTTCAACCGAGAAGATGGATTCTGGCTTAGCAATCATTGGAAGGATTTGATAAACCATTTCAGGTCTTAATTGATTGTTCACGCTTACGGTAGCTTTCAGACAGCATATATAAATTTTTCGTCTCCCCCCTCCTCTTTTCAGAACATAGATGGACTAGTCCTTCTAAATAAACTGACAAATCGCTGCGCGTGGCGCTGACGTTTTTATAAATAAATACACCGTTTAAAAATAAATTAATGCAAACCGCCACTTCTTTCAAATGTTTCTTGCCGTTGCTTTTCACACCTGTTGATGACCGTTTGCGTTATGGTCGAAACGTCGTGAGAATTTTTTTATTGTTTTATATATATTTTATTATTTTATTGTTTTCCTTCAACGTGACTTTACCGAAAGAGCTAAGAATGTAGCTCACTCTCTTCACATCCTCAAAACATTCAAGCTATTAAACCTATCAACTATTTTAACTTTTTGCCAGGTAAGGCCCACTGAGCTATACAGTTATTTTTCAGAAGCGACCTGGCTATCACAAATTATAGCTCAACGCGAGTGGCTCATCACGTGGAAATTGATAGCAGCCAAATACTCTAAACGCGTGTCGATTTTAAATGTGGAGGGACAAACGCAAGGACCCGGAGAAAAATCCACGCGAACCACTGGGAGGGAGACACGCGCACTGCAAATATACAGCAGCAGCAGGCGTCAGGGTCTCGCTCGGACCCACGACCTCCTTCATACCAGGCGAGGTAGTTAACATTCCGCCACCGTGGCTTTAGGTTGCATGTAGAGAACGCGCGTGCATTTGCTGTCTTCACACTCAGCGTTCCTATCCTCACAACGATGCCACAAATCCATTTGTCACCGTTCACATGATAAACTCTTTAAACCGCAGCCACCTCATTCGTCTGCTTCGAAGCCGCTCTCCCACTACTGCTACTACGATTTTCTTATTTTACCAGCTAAAGCTGACTGAGCTATGAAGCTCTTTTTCAGAAGCGACATGACTACAATTGATAACTCAAGGAAGTGGCTCATCACGTGGAACGTTTTATATCAGCCAAATACCCTAAACTCACTCGAACTCACGAATTTACTCGAGGGAGTCTTGCGGCATTCAAACATAGAGGGTAATATTTCTTCCCAAAATGTTATTGTAAAAAACTATTTGAATATAACGGGTTATTGCGGAACCTATGAAAAGGTCGCTTGTTTTTCATTGAAAAAAATTAAGATGAGAACTTATGATTACTGTACGAGATTAATATCACAACAATATAAATTACTTTCAGTGGAGGACAGATGCGCTTGTTTAGACACGTTACAGTATTGAATTTTGCCATACTTACACGAGTTGATATCGTGTGTTGGTAAATATTATGTGCATGTAAAATCTATAGGTAAAAAAAGAGTTACCCGCACACTACACTTTGAATGTTGCCGCAAATCCAATTGTTTATATTTTGCTATTGTATCTGCGATGACATCTTGTGGACAAGCATTAATCTAATACCAAACCTTGAACAATACTAAACAAGTATTACTTATATTATTGGTTCTTTCGGTAAAGTCACGTAGAAGGGAAATAATAAAATAATACAAAAAACAATACAATTTTCACGACGTTTCGATTGCAACACAAGCTGTGGTTTTCACACCTGATGATGATTGCTTGTGTTGCAATCGAAACGTCGTGAGAATTTTATTGTTTTTATTTGTATAATTTTATTATTTCCCTTCTACGTGACTTTACCGAAAGAACCAATAATACCAAAAACTGTTATCTAAAAATTAGTTTGCAATTTAGATTAGAAGGTGCATATCTCCAGTGACCTCCTCATATTCAATCAACGATTATTTTGTTCATGTACACACTTGGGGAAGCACCTTCCTGCATGCCATACAAAGGAAACAATATTCGTGTTAATTCTCAGAACTGTAATTTAGCCAAATAAAATAAAAAAACGGATTTAATGCGATGGGGTTTTGGGCACAATCAATGGCGACTGGGTTGAGATTATCAGTAGACTATCCTTGAGAATCAGGTTTAATCACGGACAGCTGCCCAGATCCAATTCCAGAATCTCACTCATGCCGGCACAGTGTTCTGACCTCTGGACCACCCCAGCCAAGTACAATTTTATTGAGAGACTGTGTGTTCTCTTGACGTGGTCTGGGACTGTCTTTTAAGTTGTTTTGCTGCCTTGCTCAAGCTTGGGAATTAGTGTACTTATGCAATTTTAACTTATATACGAAATCTATTTTACGTTTAAAATTGTAATGATTTTCTAACCTTTCCTATACTTTGCAATCTCATCGTGTGTTTGTATTGTTTGTTGTTGTAACTCTCTGATCCGCCCCTACTGGACATCGGTGAAAAAAAGCTTCATAGCTCATCAGATTTCTCCAGAATTAAAAAATATATAGTTTTTAATTCTGATTCTCTTGGGTTAGGAGATGCTGCATGAAGATGAACCCGGAATTTGTGCCCGGTGTCAATAAAGTTAAACACACATGCACACCTATGGGAATACACTACGCACCCACAACTTTTGCTTTAAAATACAGGGGGAGGGAGTGTATGTTATAATCTTGAGAATACGGTATTAGTGGCGTAATCATTCGTGCCCCCGTGGGATGTGATGAACTGTCACTATTCGGGGTCGTGATTTTTGTCTTAACACTCCTGGTGAACGTAGCAGCCTCGAGTAGTTACATGGGACACATGAACGCATACAGTATAACATAATTAATTGCAGGCCTTTGTCAATCCGCTGCTGGATAAAGGCCTCCTCACCGAGTGTCGGTCATGCCAGTTGTTTGACCATACTTCACCATGCTGGTCGGTACAGCTTTATTAAACGGTGGGCAACTCTGGACCAGTTCAGATATCAACACTGATATTTTTCGAGGTCAGGAATCAAAGTCAGGTCGCTGGGTTCAGAGCGCGCGCATCACTGCACCACAAAAAGAAAATCATACCAAAGAGTATGGATTCGTGCAGTCACGAAAGCTTCAAATCAAAACAAAATCATGTTGGCGGGCCATCGAACAAAGACGGTCACTGGATCGCGCGCTTTCAGATGTCGCTTCCACGGCCGTCTGGAACGTTCTTCCTTCCGATATCAGGAGGCCACTCGAGCTTTGCCTTTTCAAGTCTTCTAGGTTGAAAATTAATTTCTTTACAACTACTTTCTTACGTAAACGGTCGTCATCAGATGTGAAAAAACCTGATGACGACCGTTTGTGTTATGGTCGAAACGTCGTGAGAATTTTTTTGTTTTATATATATTTTATTATTTTATTGTTTCCCTTCAACGTGACTTTATCGAAAGAGCTAAGAATATGAACTACTTTCTTGTTTGTTGTCCTTCCCCCGCACCTCCGATTCGCAGGGTTAGCCACGTACGATGCGAAAGAAGTTTAATATACATAATACATGTTACACTCTTTGCAAGCGTTTATGTCAGAGTTCAAGAGGCACACGGTCAAGGTGGAGCTTCACGAAAAGTTAACTTTTGATGCTAAAGAAGTGAATTAGTTCTGGAAACGCACGGCTAACATTTAACAACTGATATAGAAAATAAATAAGCAGAGGAAGACAGTGGAAGAGGTGGCAAAATGAAATAGTAGACAAAGAGTTCAGAGGCCAATACTGAATAGGAACAACTCAGCAAAGGAAGGAATGCAAGAAGACAGCGGAAGCCATTGCTCATCAATCAAATTTGTAAATGACGAGAGGACACACTCATAACAGAAAAAAAGCAGTGCCGACTGGAACCGCATCCGCTTAAAAAACAACACACACACATTGGTGAGCACTGCATGGTGATTATTCTGTACTGATGAGTCCTAATAAGTATGAAAACCTTTCTCCAGCTGCCCGTCTCCGTACCACGGATGCTGCCGTCAGTCGGTCACATTGGCTCAAATGTAATTTTCACGGTGACCCAAGACAAGGGGATCACAATGCGCTTCATCAGGAACTAGCTGATGATTTTTTTTTGTAGGATGTACATTGCCCTTGCAAACAAAATGAGCCTGAAATAAGACTCCTGGGGCATCGTTCTGTTGATGTTGTTTCACGTTTCATTTGCGACGTGCAGCGTCATTTGTGACGGCCAAGTCGCTTCTGAAAAAAAGGGCGAAATAGCTCAGTGGGCCTTACCTGGTAAAATAAAAAAAATAAAAAAACTTAGTTTAGTTTAACAAATAACAGTGATTTGACTGCACTGCGTTGAGGGAGCTGCCTTGGTTTTGTGGACTTTTAGAACGCTTCTATCGAGGGGCCCCCCATGAACGACACGGGGGGAGCTTTCGACGCCTGTGTGTTGAAGCACCTAAGGCCCTCTCCTGGTTACAGTGCCAGTTGTCATTGAGGAACAAGAAAACAAACAAGAATTTCTCTTGAGAAAATCATCACGGGCGGTTGTCGGACACGTGCGATTGCGGGGGGGGGGGGGGGGGGGGCTGCCCCACGCAAATGTCGCCCCGGCATTGCGATTTTGACTGACGCCGCACGCACATTCCTCTTTTAGACTTTTATCCCCCAAAGATTAAGCTCCAGGGAGCCCTACGTAATTAGAAAGCTCATATATATACACGCGCGCTTGCATATATATGCGCGCGCGCGTGTGTGTGTGTGTGTGGCGTGTGCAAAACTCGGGACGTGAAAATTGTCATACAATGTCGAACATTTCCTCCTCAGCGTTGGACATGGGTTTGCCGCTAATGAGCCTGAAAACGACTCCGGGCATCGTCCTGCTGATGCTGTTCCACGTCTGTTTGGTGACGTGCAGCGTCGCGAGCAATGTGCTGCTGCTCGTGGCCCTCCTCAACGCGAGACACCTCTTGAGAAAGAACAACTACATTTACACGTTCAGCATCACACTGAGCGACCTCGTGGTCAGCGCCTCCTGGTTCTACTACGTCTTCTACAAACGGCATTCACGGTTCAATCCCTTTCACGACGCCGTGAACTTAGTGTTGGTCATCCACGGCATATCGCTCATCACCATTCTGGCCGCCATGATTGACAGGTACTTAGCGGTGCAGCACCCGTTCAGGTACAAGCAGATGATGACGAGGACCAAGGTCCTGTTCGTCATCGTCTTCATCTGGCTGTGGCCTCTCGTGACGACGGTCGCCAGGGCGTACTCGCAGAACGCGTCCGCGTCCCTCGGCTATTCCATCATCGTGTTTTCGATCGTGATGTTCGGAGTGATGTCGATCGTGAACGTGAAACTCTACATCGTCACCAAGCGGCAACAACGGAGGGAGCCGCGGGCAAAGGGAGCGTCCAGGCAGCGCTACGCGTGGCTCATTATCATCGCGTCCATGGTGTTTCTGATCCTCTGGACCCCCAGCATGATACACTCGGGCACGTGCTACACGTTCGATTTATGCATTCCGTTCTACAGCTTAGCGGCGGATCCCCTCTCAGTGCTTCGCGCAATGAACACGCTCACCACGCCTCTCATTTTTCTGCTCGGCAGTCCACTGACAAGGTCGTCTCTCAAGGACTTGCTGCACAAATTGAGATGCAAAAGGTGACGTGTATATTGCTTTGCAACCGCGCGGGTAAAAGTGGCGGTTTCTAAAACGGTCATATATTTCTTCAAGGTTTTTTTTATTTACTTAAATACAACAAGAGCTCCGTTGAACATCATAATTAAAGGGTATTTTCTTTGCTGTGACTGAGAGCAAGATAATGATGTTTGCCATTGCTGGACGTCTCAAGGATATATTTGAGGCTTGCAGAGGCAGAGATCGAGTGTTGCATCGCACAACTACTTGGAGAGGAACCTCACACAGCAGTGGATAGATCATGGCTGCTGCTGATGACGATGCTTCATAATGTGTCAGCGGCCACTTCAGGAAACTAGGTTATATGTGAGGACTCAGGCTTGGCATTTATTTCTCTTCAGCAGCATGCCTGTCAACCCATACGGGTTACCCAGTATTTTTGTACGAGGAAATTGAGTTTTCAGGTCCATACGGCGTACAGCCGTTTCAATACGGGGAACATTTACATTGTCTATTTGTTTGTGTTTCTCCCTTGTGATGAGACTTTGCAGGTTGAACGTTGAGATGTTTAAGGGGCACGGGGTGATTAATAAGGTCTGAATTGGTCTGTAATAAGGTAGGGCACTGATAAGGGGTTGACAGGTATGCAACAGCCACTGCTAGAATCATGTACTTTGACTCGTGCACTGTTTTTTTTAAAATTATATTCCTGATCACAAAATTATATTAGATAGAATCCATTACATGTAGCTTAATTTTGACGTTGAACATATTCAATCACATTCTAAGTGTATTTGCTTGAGAGTATGCAAAGGATGCAAACATTTTCATCCTGTTCATGAGAAACGTAGGTTTCTTTTGAAGGATATTCTGTGCAAATAATTGTTTAAATTATCAATATATAGTTTTTAGTCAAATAAAAAAAATTTTGTCGGTCCATGTGGTGGACCACAGAGGGCAGAGCAGCAACACCCATTGATGTGCTGCACTTCTATGGTCATCACGTCTATGCTCCCACCTCCACCTTCGTCAACCCACGTGTGGTGATGTATGGTCAAATGAACCTACATGACCGACTTGACGTGAGGATGCGGCAGCGGATCGACAACAGGGCTCTACGCACACACGTACCCTACTGTCGTGAAATAACGAGCAATCTGCCTCGGCTTCTCGACGCATTCTCGCGTTGGAGTAGAAACGTCTCCGATGTTGGGACAAAAAAAATATTGAATGTTAATAATAATACTAATTTAACCCCTTGTCTGCTCCTTACCCCCACCACCACCGCCGCAGGTCAACTGTGACAGCTCAGATCGGATGAAAAGCCATGGGCATCCCGACAATATTCTAACGTATTTTGAAACAATTAAGGCAAATAATTATTAGTTAGTAAATACACACACATACTGGCATATGCATTTGCTTCATGAACATTAAATTTTTTATTTCATTTGTCCTCCGTTTGGCAATGTTTTGAGCAGTGCGATCAGTTTCGTGTACAGGTTATAATGTGGCAGCGCAATAAGCATGAGGAACTGGAATGGGATGAGGAGGGCCTTCATCTAGCAGTGGATAGAGAGTGGCTGACGATGTTGATGAACGTAATTTATACGGACTGAACTTTGGTGGCTTTTAATGATTACAAAAACTTTTGACAGTAAGGGAATGACGTGCATGTAACGAGCAAATAAAATAATTAACATTTAATTGCCATTTTCTAAGTACATGTTAAAACGATGAAATTAACATCTCGCGGACGACTATGTGTGGTCGGTGACTATAATCGACAAGTAAAGCGATTAATATTTAAATAATCAACCACCATTCACAGGCCTGTCCATCCACTGATGGACGAATGCAGCACTCCCAAGCATTTTTGTTCCTGGGATTTGATTGTTCATACTTCACCACGCTGGTCAGCAGGGGTAGGTGAAGGGTTGTATGCGGGAGGGAGGGGGGGGGGTACGTTGCGAACTGAGAACAACGTGGATAATGCTCGCCGCTACGGACACGTTAGCCATGGTTGAGAATCGAACTCAGGTCCGCTGGTGCAGTGGCGAGACCACGACGTCACCGCACCGCCCAGTAACGAAGAACGGCATTTGTGTGTAACCAGCGTGATGAAGCGTAGGCAAACAATCCCAGCCGCTGAAATGGGCAAGGGGCCGGTGGGGGGCCTCCACGTCGTGATTGGAACGGTGTCATGTTTACCCCTTGCTGCCACGAGATGTAAGCTACCTTGCACCGCCACGTCTCGATCTAACTACGAACCGAATTTCCACATTCATCGAATCACCAGCGGAGTAAACCATTCCACCGCTACAAGGGCTCCGAATGCGGTGTCAACGGTAGTCGCCTGAATGTGCCCTTCAAGATCCGACCGTGTCCGTCCGGTGCTCGCCGAGTTGCATTGGCTGCCGCTTGCCGAACGAGAACGTGAAAATGTCGCACCCTTTACACACAAAAGTGCTTGCCACAAATGAACCGCAATTCATGAGTGATCTTGTCAAGGAGCCTTAACCATCACGCCAACTCCGGTCATACTCGCAGCTGCTTTTGGCTAAACATGGAACAATGATGGCCACTGCATTGCGTGCTTTCAGGTATGCTGGAATGCTCTTCCTTCTAATACTGTATTCGGACGCTACTGGAGCTATGCAATATTGAATCTAGATTGAAAACTAATTTTCTTTATAACTGCTTTTTGTCTTTAGTTTGTTGTCCTTCCCCTCCCACCTCCGATTAGCACCGTTGGCTACGTACGGTGCGAAAGAAGTTCAACATAGATGATGGTGTTTCTATTTTAAATGCACTTTCAACATAAATCTTTGTTTACATCCCAATACGTTTGTTAGCAACTAGTATGTGAGTGCATGCACGGCAAATTAAAAGTCACGTTGGTTCAATAAACAGGCAAATAATTGATGCTTGACGCAGAGTTGTTGATAATAAACATAAATATAATTGCCAGCCCCTTGTCAATCCACCGCTGGATGATCTCCGCATACACTGTCCGTTATGCGAGTTGTTCGACCATACTTTATCACGCTGATCAGTGCAACTTGGTGAAGTGTGGGAAACCCAGGAGCATCTTCTTGGTTCTTTTGGTAAAGTCACCACGTAGAATGGAAATAAAATAATAAAAATAAAACATAATAAAATTCTCACGACGTTTCGGCCACAACACAAGTAGCCTTAAATTTTGATTTAAAGCTTTCGTGACTGCAGCAATTCATATTCTTAGTTTTTTCGGTAAAGTCACGTTGAAGAGAAACAACAAAATAATAAAATATATATAAAACAATAAAACATTCCCACGACGTTTCGACCATAACTCAAACGGTCATCTTCAGGTGTGTTGGTTTGCATAAATTTATTTTTAAACGGCGCATTTATTTATTTATAAAAAACGTTAGCGCCACGCGCAGCGATTTGGCAGTTTACCCAGGACTAGTCCATCTATATTCTGAAAAGAGGAGGGGGGAGACAAAATTTTTTATAATGTATGCTGTCTGAAAGCCACTGTAAGCGTGAACAATCAATTAAGAACTGTAATGGTTTATCAAATCTTTCCAATGATTGCTAAGATAGAATCCATCTTCTCGGTTGAAATTGTCTCTGTGCTTGTATATGTGGATAGCCTCATGAACGAATCTCTCATGGAAGCCAGATGGCTTACAAAGAACCTCTGTCTTGGAAAAGTCAATGGCATGTGAGCCTACTGAATTAGAACAATGATCTGCTACGGCCGAGGTGTTGGTCCTACCGTGTTTAAAGTCTGCTTTGTGTTCACGAATGCGGTCCGAGACATGGCGTTTGGTTTCTCCAATGTAACTACTACCACAGAGGCAACTTAGTTTGTAGACACCAGGGTATTGTATGTCCGGAATCACATCTTTTACAGACGGAACCAGATCACGGATTTTATGTAATGTGTTGAAACGGACCTGGATCTTGTGTTTATTCAAGATTTTGGAGATCTTTTTTGTGATCCCAGCAATGTAGGGTAAAGTGATGGTTTTGAAAGGCTCCTCAAGAGGGTTCTTCTTCATGGTTTGAGTGATAGCTTTGCGGATTGTATAGTCGGAGTAACCATTAGCCCTAAGAGCTTGGTGTACGTGCTTCAGTTCACTGCTTATGTGTTCCTGGTCGGATATGCATTGGGCTCTATGATACAGAGTCTTGATGAGAGAATTCTTCTGTGATGGATGGTGGTGGGAATCCGGTTTCAGATAAGCATCCGTATGGGTAGCTTTCCTGTAGACAGAGTGGCTCATTGAACCATCAGGTCTCTTTTTAATTAGGACATCCAAAAAAGGTATCTTGCCATCTATTTCGACTTCCATGGTAAATCTGATGGCTGGGTGTATGGAATTGATGTGGTCGAAGAATTGGTCTAGAGCAGGCCGGCCATGTGGCCAGATGACAAAAGTGTCATCCACTTACCTCTTCCATAAGGTTGGGCGCAGAGTGGCAGTCTGGATGGCGTCAGTCTCAAATTTCTCCATGAAAATGTTAGCTATAACTGGAGAAAGGGGGGAGCCCATTGGGGTGCCCTCAGTTTGTTTGTAGAAAGTTCCATTCCAAGTGAAGTATGTATTGGTTAAACAGTGTCTCACCAGGGGGGGTACCTCAGTGTTTAGTCCTTGATGAACCAAGTCTTCAATGATTGCAATGGTGTCAGGTACAGGAACCTTGGTGAATAAGGAAACTACATCAAAACTGACAAGCAGGTCGTCTGGGGACAGGGAAATACCCTTGATTGTCGATACCAGGTGAGTAGAATTTTGTACCGCAGAGGTGGTCTTTCCAGTGAAAGGACGCAGGATTTCAGACAAAAAACGAGCTAGTTTGTAGGTGGGGGAGCTGATAGTAGAGACTATGGGACGAAGAGGTGTATCTACTTTATGTATTTTTGGTAAGCCGTATAATCTTGGTGGCCTGGCAGCAGAAGGTTTCAACGAAAACTGTTTAGATTGATCAATTAATGCGGTTGAATCAGAAATTATTTTGTTGGTTTGTGTGAC